GAGCCAATTAGTAGACTCTAATGTTTCTGCTGCTGTTAAGATTTATATGCAGATTGAATTAACTATTTTTTGTTTGCTAACTTAAAGATTAATTTTTGTGTTAGTAAGAATTTGAATGAAGATAGTTGGTATCTAAATTTACCTGAGAGAGGAAATATCTAGTAGTTATTTGGACTTGGGTCATTTTTCTCATTGAAAGTTATGCCTGTCAATGTTCAAAAGAGATCTATGCCATTGGACACAACTCAGATTGAACATCAGTTCTTGTTCAGAGCACAATCATTTTGCGTGTAGATAAAAATACTTTCTAGAATGATACCACTTAATAATTTGAAGTGTAGTGTGATAAGCATAACTTGATGAGAATCCAAAAATAGAAATTTTTGTTCAGTATGCAAATTAGGCAAATGAATTTAAGAATTATTAATATGCTGATAATCCAGGTATTTGTCTGTTTCAGACTGTGTGGGACAGCAGATAACCCTGTTCTGGGAGTTTAGAAACTGGAATTGACCTAAATGTGCTCTGACCTAGAAAAGTAAGATAACAGATTAATGTAGAAGATCCACTGTTCCATAAACTACTTTATTTTTCAAATAAATTATGAGCCACCTACCTGGTGCTGCCCTTTAAAATTGGAGTAATATTGTAGGATAATAGAATGAGTGTGGAGTTGAAATTACTCAAGTTTACCACATCTGTCAGCTCAGTGACTAAAGGATTTCAGGGTTAGAGTAGGTGTGAGGTGCATGTGCAGCCCTATCGAGGATCCACTTTCTATTCTGAGTGGTTTATTCAGGTTCTAGGACAGAAAGATGGGATCACAGGTAATAGTACAGTGCCCCCTACCTTTGTGAATAGGGACCTCCTTTACTGTAAGAAAATACCACCAACTGAGTGGTTCAAGCAACTCATATTTGTCATCTCACAGTTCTAGAGGTGCGAGGTCCCTTTGATGGTGGTAGGGAATGGTCTGCTCCAGGCCATTGTCCTGCCTTTGGTAGTTCCTAGGCTCAGAACACCACAAGTCCAGCCTTCCCATGTTGTTTATCTGTGTGTATCTCTGCCTTTGTTAAGCTGTGTCTTTACAAAGACCCTGGTCACATATGATTAGGATGGCCACACTACTACAGTAACATTTGTAGTGTCCTATTCTGTACATAAAGCTATCTTCTGAGGTGCTGGGGAGTTAGGACACCAACATATGGATGGGGGAAACATTCTGAACTCATAAACTGGTGATTATATTTTTATTGTCTTGGTTGTGACACTTATGAAAGTAAAAGATCATGATATAGTATTAGTCAGGATCTGCAGAGAAATATATACACCCTCGCAGACCCCAAAGGGTGTGTCAGTGACAGGGAAATTTACTGTGGGAACATAGGCTTATACAATTATGGAGGCTTCGAAGTCCCACAGTATGTTGCCTGCTGTGGGTTGTAATTCACTGACCCCAAATCCTGAGAATCTGAGAGCCAAGGTTGAAGATCTGAGGATGAGGCAGGGGGGACGTGAAAACAGGAGTCAACAGCAGAAATGAAAGTACAGTGTCCAAGGACAGGAAAAGACAGATGCCATCTCTCCATGCTTTTGTCTATCAGGGTTGTCAGTGGATTGGGATTCAATCTCTTATACAAATAGGACCCTCCAACCCCCGTAAAAAAAACAAAAACAAAAATCCCAGTGTTTTACCAGTTATCTGGGAATCTCTTAACTGTAATTTTAGGTAACACCTAAAATTAGCCAGCTGTTAAAACTTGTTGAAGTTTAACAGATACAACCTGAGTCTGCCTGAGGCACACCTGAATATATGATCACTGTACCTGTAAGGGAGGAAATCTTTAACCCATCTTTTAAAGTTTTCTTGAGGTTAAATAACTTTCCCAGAATTACAGCTAGAAACAGGATGAGCAGTATTCAAATTCAGGACAGTCACATTAAAAAAAATAATAATAAAACGAAAGCCTCATAAGAAGGTAGCCTATTCATGTTTGTAGAATAAGTTCCTATGTATTAACCCTGAGTAAAAGAAGAAGTGAATTTTCTATGCTCCCTTCTCTAATTTTCTTTTTCATATTCTTTGTATTTCTTTTGTGCTTATGTAATTTTAGCTATAGAGAAATAAAATAATAATACATTTTATTAAGTTTATTTAACATACAGATCTATATACTATGAGTGTTTTATTTTTATTTGTTTTTCTGTTTGTTTTTGGAAGGTAAGACAACTCATAAAACTATGTGATTAAAAGAAAACACCTGAAAATCTTACTTTAGGTTTGCTGGACAAATATTTTAAATAATTTTATGTGCGTATAAAACACTTTTATCATGATTTATCTGTAATCTATATCTGATTTGTTGATTGAATTGCTCATAGGTAATTGACCAAATTGTTACTAGATAAGAAAGGAATATGTTAGCATTCTTTATTATCTGTCAGTAAAATAACTTTACTGAAAAATCTAACGATTTACTTTTTAGCCTGGGAAGAAAATAAAAAATCATCGGGATGCTGGGGTTACCATGACTGGTAGTGGCATTCTGCTGTACTGTGTTTCCTTCAGGTCCCTTCTCTCCTTGTGCCTGTGGTTAAATGCTTAGGAACTCAGTAGGTGACAGTTTTTGTTACACTCCTACTGTTACAGATGTTGGTGCTGTGACTGCTTTCAGTTTTGTCATCATCTTTGCATTGGTCAGCTTTCTCATTGCTGAGACAAAATGCCTGCCTGACACTTGCATTGTAAAGGAGGAAAGGTTTATTTCAGCTCATGATTTTGGAGCTCTCTGTCCGTGTTTAGCTGACTCAAAGGCAGAAAGATTACAGCAGAAAGACATGGTGGAACAAAGATGCTCACCACTCAGTGAGAAGTGGAGAAAAACAAGGAAGAGGCCCCCAGAGGTCACCCCCAGTGGCCCCTCCTCCAAGGGCACATTTAAACGTGAGCTCATCAGTGGTGAGTCACTGATGACTACAGCATCCATGATCCAACCACCTTCCAAAAGCCCTATCTGACCACAGAGGACTTTGGGGGGACATTTTAGATCTAAGCATAACAACCTTGAAGAGAAAAGCATTCTGGAAATACCAGAGGAGTGAGGAAGTAATGTGTCAGGAAAGCATTTGGATGTCTACCAGGTTTCTTCTTTCTCTGAGTACATTTTATTGTGTCTGCACAAAGTATGCACGGTGTTATGGCACACATACAGGTAGTAAAAGGGTTACTGTAGCAGAGCACATTAACATATCCATGATGGCATGTAGCTACCCATGTTTGTGGCAATAACAGCTAAACTCTTACTTAGTGTGAGTCCCAGCTGCAATACAATTTTATTACCAGCTTTCTTCTTTGATAATAGGATGAATGGGAATGAACTAACCAGGACAGAATATACAGAGTAAATAAGATAGGACAATATGATCATGCATTCAGAGTAATCCATGCTGAATTTGAACTGTTCCTGCAGTATCCAAATGAGGGAGACATGTGAGTGGTTGGAAACGGGAGGCCCACCAGAGGTCTGGAAGGAAGGCATGCATATGATGTCCTCTTAGGGTCAAAAATTAAATTAGTTTTCTAGATGTTAACAGCCCTCAGACTACTGACTGTGAAAAGCCACACTTGCCCACTTCCCCCAGCCACAGCATCTTTGGGTACAGAATTTGAGATTGATTTTCTCTCACTTAAGTTGGCATATTAAGAGACTCATTATTATTTTGTGCAATCATTGGTTGGTTGGTTGAAGTTTCTTTCCATTTTGGGTGCTTGTCACCCTTCTTTACCTGGCAAGGATCCACAGTGGATCCACTGCTGGATCCACAGGCCAGGGCCCTTTGCTGCTGGTTGACTGTGAGCCCCAGGATATAGCTGCTGTCTCATGATGCAGTGCATGTGCAGAGTGGGGGGCAAGGCTGGCCTTCCCTAGCAAGTGGCTGCTGAGTTAAGCAGTAGGGAGCTCACCATTGTCGCAGTATGTCAGGGACCTCTCTGGGACCGTGATGGGGACGTCAGGTTGGACCCAGCAGAGTGGGTCCCAGAGAGCGGAGGAATTTTGCACATTTCAGTCTGAGGCCTGGCTCTGAGCACAAAGACAGATAGTAGGTTTATGTCCGGTAAAGTTATGTATTTTTCCTTCTGTGAAGCCAAGGCCTAGCATCCTGTCATGTTTTTATATTGTTAAATGAAAGAATATATACATTAGTGATTTTGAGCTACTGTTCATTCTGAATAATTAACTTCTGATAAAATAATATCTTCAGATTCCTTTTGGAGGTTACATTTTATCACATTTTTGTCATTCTGTGGTAGGATTTTTAAAAACATGATGCCCCTGTGTGGGCTTGCTTGTCTTAAAAGTATCTTAACTGTTGTTTAAATTATTACACCTATAAGAAAGATACTCAGCTTTATCAGAAAGTATGGGTCAATTATGTGTTTTAAAAAATAACTGATGGTTGTTTATAACAGTTTTATGAAATTATTTTGAAACTATTTAAACAAAGTTATTGATGAATCAGTTAAATAAAGAACTGTACTAATAGGGGCTGGGGATTTAGCTCAGCGGCATACGCACCTGCCTTAGAAGCAGGCGGTCCTGAGTTTGATCCTCAGTACCGATTTAAAAAAAAAAAAAAAAAGAACCCTACTAATGAGTAGTACATTAACGTTTAATTGGTTAATGCAACCTATTTTTAACAGAATCTTAAAATTAGGAACTTTAATTGGGCTCAGATATTAGAGGGAATATACAGCAAACCTAGTATAGGCAATTGATTGCTAAGTGGTGGAGGTACTCTGGGCCGCATCCCCTCCAAGAACAGAAGGTCATGGTCTCTGTTTCCCTCCCGTGCCCATGTTGTGTCTGCCCACCTGTGCTGGAGATCTCAGGGAGGGAGGGCAGGTGTAGGGCTGGGGTCTGAGTCCAGGCACAGTGATGGCACAGGGCCAGCTCCGCTGACTGACGCTTTTCTGACATGGAGATTTCTTTTATTCACAGGTGAGCGTCCCTATCAGTGTCCTTACTGTGAAAAAGGATTCAGTAAAAACGATGGACTCAAGATGCACATTCGTACACACACCAGGGTAAGATTTTGTTTTGCCTCATTGACATTGCTCCTAAAACCTGTACTTACTTTTAAAGAAATATATTTGATGTGGGAAGTGGTGTATTGGAAATTATGTGTTTATGGTGGTCATTTGAAGATAAAATTTTAGAAGCAAAATAAATGTAAAATCATTCCAACAGTATCTAGATTCTTTGAATTGCAAATTAAATTTCAGGAGTTACAGATGACAAACTACCAGATAAATGTATTTTAACATTTTATCATAGAAAATATAAAGGTTTGTCTTGTAGAATATTCACCAGTAATAGGAATGTTCCTAGATAGAGACAAATCTGTCAACGTTTAGCCACTAAATACTATTTATAATCAAGTATCTTTGCAGGTGAGGTGTTGCAAATAATTTAAATTAGAGGGAGAGCTGGAAACACAGAAGCATCGCTCAGTGCACTTCAGGTGCATGCCGAGTGCGGTGCTGTATCCTTGTTCCGAAGCTGCCCTTTGTTCTGTGCTGTCAGTACCTCTCAGTGGACTGCTGTCATTCTGATGTATGCACGGCTTCTCCAGACTCCAGCATCTGCCTCAGATGCTGAAGAAACAGTGCATGCAGCTCATCCTCTGTCCAGAGCTCCCTGTAGCTCCCTGTCGGGGTTTAGTGCATAATTAGCGCATAATTAGATACTCTGTATGAACTTCCTACGTGGAACTTTTATGTTGTTTTAAAAACCTACCCATGAGTTTCCTCTTTGCTTTTTTCTTTGCTTTCTCTTTCACACATTTCCCCTTTTGTTTTGGCTTTCTGAGTGTAATTATGAGCTATGCATACATGATACATTTTTCCACATTTTAAGACATGAGCTTGATCCCCTGAAGAGCAGTTCTAACTTAGGCTTCTCTTGGATTTCACTTTTTACTTTAGCTATAAAATAAAAACTTTACAGAAAACACATAATAATAATATCCTTCTCGGTATAATAATATTTTAGCCTTCAACTTCAGCTCTGGAGCACTCAAAAGAGATCCTCTGGGTCCTATTAAGAAAGTACTTTTGTTCTGGTGGATGTGAAGAGAGGAAGCGATTCCACAGCGGGTTTCTCCCTCTGCCCTAGGACAGCATATTCATATTATGTGATTACTAGAAATTGGAGCACTTACTAAATATAAAAGTACGTCGTAAACTATAAACAAACAAACATTACTGCTTTTAGTAATAGGACTTAAATGACAGTGTTAAAAATCTGTTTCACAATGAATTTTGTTAAAGGAGTTTAAGTTCATTTTAGGTTGGTTTAGGACATTCTTTTGTATGTTACTTTCACAAAAGTGTTAATGATGTGTTTATTTAAAAGATGCTATCATATGGCAAAGAGGCTTTGGTTCTTCTTGGTGGAAACTAGTGATGTTAATCAAAATGTTCCCATAGGCTGATTTACTTGACTGTTGAAGATACAACTATAGCATAGAAGAGGCTGTTCAAATAATTAAAGGAAAAAGTGTTTTGGTTTCCTCAAAGTTTTACTATTTCTAATTCAACTAGTACATTTTTAATATAGACTTATTAATGAGAATAATTCAAACAGTTAAGGTAAGTGTGGACAAACACAAGGACCACAAATTACGTAGCAGGTAAGACTTCTTTATAACAATTTCAAGGCTTTCACATTTATTAATTCATTTAATTTTCATAAAACTATGAAGAAGTTAGTATTATGATCCTCTTTTTTAAAAAGGAATTACTGAAGTACAAATAAGTAGCAGAGTCAGAGTGACCAAAGAGACAATCTCTTTACCTATTGCACTGGCTTTTTGCTTTTTATTAATTATTTCTCATTTCATAGGCTTTAATATGTTTCTCAGTATATTTCTAAATGAAGGCAATTATGACTCTGAGTTTCACAATCCACGTTCTTGGCTAGTGTTGTACAAGGATCCTGGCACTATGCTATGTATGTCCAAAGATTGAGCTACAAGTGGCACCTGTCCTCAAAAGAAAGCAATCCCAGCCTTTGGCCTGGGGAACCCCAGAGAACTCAGAGAGCAGAAGCCCTCAGGGTTTTAGAGAGAAGCTCAAACAATTAGTAGAGAACACTGTCAAAATGTAGGATGAATAAATGTCAATTTGGGTATTATAGCAAACTCTAATTTTCCATTTTTATACATTTATCACATTTTATCCTAGGCAGCTTTTTTTATTAGTATATATTTATAGTACATACTGTTTATATTCCTTTGGAAGAGCTGATGCATGTACATAATACATTTTTTGGCTTTTTGAGTCAGGGTCTCGCTATGTAGTTCAGGCTGGATTTGAACTCACTGTGTGGCCCAGGCTGGCCTTGAACTCATGGCAGTCCTCCTGCCTCAGCCTCTGTAGTGCAGGGATTACAGGTTTGCACCACCATGTCTGGCTGCATAACACATCTTACTCCCTTTTTCATTCATTTTGCTCCCCTCTTTACCCCTCTCTCCATCTCTTGATGCCCTCCCCATTTGACAAAGATATAGCTTCTTTCTTCCTATTGTCTTTTTTGTAGCTTTTGATTTATAATTTGGGTTCCTCATAAAGAGAATGCATGTGATATTTAAGCTTTTATATCTGATTTGCTTCTTTTAATTGTATGGTCTTAAGGAGCATCCATTTTCCTGAAAATTACTATTGAGTTTTTCTTTCTTCATGGCAGAGTTGTAATTCATTGTGTGCAAATGCTACATTTTCTTTATACATTCATCTGTTGATGGGTGTATAGGCTACTCCCAAAATTTAGCTCTTATACATTGGGCTTCTGTAAATATGGGCATGCAAGAATCACTTGCAGTTCTGTTTCCTGGACATTAAATAAATACAGATTATTCTTTACAAATAGGTCCAAATTATATTAAGTGTATTAAAAGTTATCATCTCATACAGTGATGGTGAACCTATGATATGTTGCATTTCTCTTTTAAGACAAAAGATGTTAATTTAGAGTGGCTTTTTCTAAACTAAAACTTCAGCATTCAGATTTAATTGCAGTATTGGCGTTTTTTGATAAGTAATTTGGGTTGCAGTTTAACTTGGTCTCCGAAAGGTTTGCTATCACTGATGAAATATAATCAAAGCATTATCAAGAATCAAAAGTTTTTTTTAAAAAATTGTAGAAAAGTAGTCTTTAGTAAGTTTAAGGCAAAAAAGGCTGTTATATTTAGACCATAACACATTTAAGTTTTACTTTTGTAGTTATGATACATTTAGTATTCTGATAGCTGTATTTGCCAGATTTTATCCTGTTTCAAAAGCTTTTAACTCCATTGCTGCATCAGCAATAATGGAAACTACATAATTCAGTAGGTGACATCTTTAGGATGCTTAGGTGATACTCCTCAGAGTGCTCTGCCGTGTCTGTACCCCCAGCTTTGCATTCTGTGAAAATGGCGTGAACATCTCTGAAGAATACTAACGCGTTTCCAGAGTATTGTCTCTAGGGTCCACTGAGAGCCCCAGTTTGGGAGGAAATTTTGCAAAAAGCCCTGAAATCACTGGCTTTCTTTAATGGGAAGACGTGAGAGGACATCTAGTGATCCATTCATTTCCTCCAATGTAGTTTCTTTATTTTGTTTTCAGTACATCGGCTCTGATGTATTTTTCTTTGCACGTATCCTGTTTTAGATCTGTAATCTGTTACCTGCAGTTAGATTTTGAAAATGCTCATCATTTTCTTCTAAAGTATTTCTCTGGTGCTGATGTTTTTGTCTTCATCTTTCGGGACATCAGTTACATGTGTTAGAATTTTGGCTGTTGTCCCAAGTGCTCACTTGCTCCATTCTCTTTTGTCTTATTTGCTTTGTTGTTTGAATCTTAGGTGGTCTTTGTGACTTTGCATTTCTCAGATCCATGGCATATGTTCAACTTCATTGGTTCTTTCCTCTGTCATGCCTTGCCTGCTTATTAAGAGTTAGCCTTTGATACCTCTTTTTTCCCTAGTATTTTCCTTTAGCTTTTAAAAAATTATTTTTATGGGGGCTGGGGATTTAGCTCAGCAGCATAAGTGCCTGCCTTGTAAGCAGGCAATTGTGAGTTCCATCCCTGGTACCAATTAAAAGGACAAAGACAAAAAAAACAAAATTATTTTTATGTTGTTACTGAAATTGCTCACCTTTTCATGAATGCGATATGAGATTTTTACTAGATTCTTTGACATTTTAATTATGGTCATTTTAAATTCTATGATATTTCTACCTCCTGGCCATCTTTGGATCCTATTGACTATTTTATCTCTTGATGATAAATTAAGGCTTTTGCTTTATATGTGTTATCAATGCCTGTTATTTTGTGTAACACAATAGTAAAGAATGAGGTGGCTACTGTTTATGCTTAGAAATAGGGTATCTCGTCTTCTGATAGATCATTATTGGGAGGTGTTGAGCCAATGTGGTAAGTAGCCCAGCTAGACTTGGGGTTTGTTGTCACCCTGGTTATCACAGGCTTTCACGTCCTACTGTGGCAGGCTGCAGTGATGGTGCCCTTTGTAAGAGGCTGGCGAGTTGGAGAGGCTTTCTCTCGGATCTTCCTACCGATAGGTTTTAGCAAATCATGTGTGCCTTTGCCACAAATCTGCTCTGAGCTCCCCTCTTCTCGTTGCCGGTGTCTCTGTCTCTCTCCCTCCCTCCTTCCCTCTCTGTAGTGTGCTGGTGCTTATTATTAGTATAAGAGAGGTGAGCCAGAGGGCTCTTGAGGCTCCTGCTCTAGCCTTAGGCAGGTGTGTGTAACTGAGCATCAGCATGGCAGTTTTCTCAACACCTGGCCTCTGGGAGTGGAGGCATGGGGCACAGCCTTTGCTTTTCCATGGAACAGCTGGGTTGCAGTGTTCTAACATTATCCACACATCAAAAATTAATTAGCTGAAATTAAATAAAATAAAACTTTACTCTGTGCTCAGTAGGCACATGTAACTAGTGGCTACCATATTGCACAACACAGAACAAACTCTGTCAACTCTCCAACCTTCAGTTGAGCCTCACCTTATGTCATTTGAGGGGATG